GCAGTTCCCGTTAATCAGTTTTAATTGCTGTGAGATGCCCAGAGGCCCCTATGTGAGATGGGTGGATATACACGTTGAATGAATGAATGAATGAATGAATGAATGAATGAATGAATGAATGAATAAATAAACAAATAAACAAATAAAATTTCATCCAAAGGTCCAAAGCAAAGGGGAGGGGGGATGCATTACTTCAAGGGCTGCTGTTGTATTATTTTTTAAACCTTTTCCCAGCATGGTGGCTGTGACTAAAGCAAGTGGTAGGCGGGGCCACCTATTTTTCTGAATTTCCACAATTTCCCCCCTCTTTTTGACACTCCCCATCTCTTTCTTTCTTGTCAGGAGAGCAAGTTGCTGGGAAGATGCAGATCAACCCCTTTGGAGTTAGATCGAACCCTCAAAACCACCAAGGAAGTGGTTTTAAAATAAATATTAAAATTTATTTATAATTATTATAAATGAATTAATTATTATAAATAACCGCCCAGAGTCACTTCCTCATGGGCAGTGTCTAAATTCAAAATATAAACAAACAAACAAACAAATAAATAAATAAATACATTCTAGTTACTTTGACCCTATCAAGGTTAATATTATTATAAATATGTTGTGGTCCTTTTAGTTTAAAGGCTTCTTATTTTATATTATGGTGTTATAATTGATTGTAAAATAATATTGCATCAACTATTGTATCCTGTGTCTGTACTGGACTGAATTATAAGCACCGAATAAAGAAATAAAATTATTGTTACTGCTTCAAGGGGATTAATGAGGCCCACATTAACTATACTGAATACAAATGGTTGTTAGGAAAAAAAGGCTCATAGTTACACACCCTTCCCTTTTAAGTAATATATGCTGAGATGGGTGAAAAGAAGTAGGCTTAAAAAGCGACGGTACATACAGCCTCATCGATTTGTCTCTTGTACGTCTTCAGTTTGTTCTGCAGTTTTTCCACCAGTTCCTGCATGCGTTGGTTGGTCTTGTGGTCCTCTTCAGTCTGGAAGACCAGCTCCTTCAGACGTCGCTCGTTCTTTTGCAGCAACTTCACCGTCTCCACGTGGCGCTTTTGTTCGGAATCCAGTTCGGCCACAAGTTCCTTAATCTGAAAAGGAAACCAAGGCCCAGCTTGTGAGGTCAACCTCAAAGGAGCCAAGGGGGAGTCATAACAGGCATGATACTGGCCTGATGCCACCAAGAAAGTGGGAAGCTTTAGAAACTGAAAGTGGGATGGAGTGAAGAGGTATTTACCCGGGTCTCCAGCTTCATGATGGTGCGTTTCCCAGCTTTCAAGGCCAATTGCTCAGCTTCTTCCATCTTGACCTGCAGGTCCTTGATGGTGACCTCGTAGTTCTTCTTGATCTTCTCCAAGTGCATGGAGTGATCCTGCTCCTGCCGAAGCTCTTCGGCCATGCGGGAGGCCTGGAGGCGCAGCAAATGAAGGGGGATGAACAGTTGGAGGTGGACCGATCTCCGCCCAAACCTTCTTAAATAATGCATAAATACTGATACCCGTTATAATATTTACAGTCCACCTCAATCCAAATAGGGTCATGACAAAAACAAGACACTGAGAATCACACACGACAATAAAAAATCATCACTGAAAATCGAACACATCAGAGGAACCATTCAGTTACAAATAACCTAGGTACCAGACACCTGTCAGAACACTGCTTTGCCGAATTTTTGAAATTGTTGTAAGGCAGGGACTTCCTCCAAGGGAAGAGGGTTCCAAAAAATGGGGCCATGAGTGAGGAGATCTGTCACTTGGCTCTTGTCCATGAACCTCATGAAGGGGAATGGGGTTGCAGTTGTCTCTTTCTAGATGACGAGACAGCAGATTTGATTTTGATGCCGACTTGTAAAAGAAATCCACCACAGATTTCAGAGTAGGGTTCTCCTCAGCCTTTTACACAGGTTGGATCTACTCCAAGAGTGCAACATTTCAAGGTCCATGTGTTCCTTTGGCATTTTTGAGGACACGGCATGGGCAGGATCACAAAAATGGCTGCCACCATAAGCATGGCCAGCTACAAAACGTATCTCTACCAAAATATAAAATGGTGTGGTGGTTCCCTGCCCCCTTCTCTGGCCCCCTGAGTTGCTTTCTTCCCTCTCAGCTTATTCTTGGGTAAGAGAAGACACTCCCAACGTGCTAAGAAGTGTCCATCTTGCCATTTTTATTTTCCAGGAATGCCTGTGGGAACTACGTAAGACCAAAAACTCTTCTTGGAACCCCAAATGATTCCGGAGGTTGTTCTTTGCCTGGTGGCAGATTTGCCTTTATTATTATATTTTCATTTTAAAATTTTGGCAAGTGCCCAGAGAAAGGTTTGCAGGCACCAAGGTTGTCTATCCCTGATCCATCCAATGTGCCTTCATGAAGACAAGGCAACCCATGTCTAGCCAACAGTTATAACCACCAGGGGCAAAGTGCACATTTGAAAAGGGTTCTATCATTCAAGGAAATGCTCCACTGAAGCTTTCCCCAAGCTCCAGGAACTGCAAACTCACGTCAGCCATGGCTTTCTTTGCTCTCTCATCTGCTGTTCGGAACTCACTGATCAGTTCCTCATGTTCAGTCGTTATGCGCGTGAGATCAGATTCTAGCTTGCGTTTGATCACCAGCAGGCTTTGGTTCTGCAGAAGGAAGCGGAGGCGTCAAAACAGGATCCATTAAATCAGGGGAGCTCAAGCTATGGCTCAAGACCCCCCTTGGGGATGGGCAGCAACTTATAGAGGGACCATGTTTGCATAGGAAAGCTACAAAACTGTCAAAACTCAATCTAGGAGTTGCCCCTCAGTATCTGGTCACCAGGCCAGATTGGGTGATTGTGGTATGGCAAAGTTTGGGAACTTGTGTAATATAGAGATTAAAACATAATGGTTCTCAGCGTTAGATTTCTTTCTTGCCCAACCCAAGCTGTGATGAAATCATTACTTTTATTCATGGGGAGAGTCATGCAAATTCATACATCATCTTAGGGGACTGTGGTAGCCCAAAACTTGAGAACTCCTTCATTAAATGAAACTAGATGGTTCTTCAGACAGCGACCAGGTTCAAAGACTGTCTTACAAGGGACAGTTTGGATTCTGTGTTTTTGTGCAATAGAGATGACTCAGTTAAGTGAAATAACAGAAGGCGGATCGCCAGCTTATGGTGAAAAGTAGATGAGGGTCTCATAAGTTGCGTCACTGTTTTTTTTCCAAGCCAAGAAGGAGTATGTGTGTGGAAGGAGGTACAAGCCAGGTTGGAACTACAGCCTTGAGGAGGGGGCTTTATTCTCCTAGCCCCCTTTCACAAATCAACAATGCTTTGCCCACATCAATTTTTCTTATTTTCAACGCCCTCCCAGTAACTGGAATTCCCTGCCCGAATTACAGATGATTGAAAACAACAAAGCGATCAAACAGTGAGCAACAGAAGAGTATGTTAACAAAAACCAGAGGTGAAAAAACAGAAACTCTAAATACTCAAGAACAATCTTTCCGGTATGATCTGGTGCTTAAAATCAAGGCAGCTAGAAAAATGTGTTGGAAGAGAGGAATGTCAGGCTGATGCAGAAAAGGAATTGATGAAGCACCAAGCACTAAAGAATTTAAATTCTTCCTCCCTTCTCTGTACCATGGCCCAAATCTAAGTAAGGTACCCATTCTCCAAAGGATTGTTTAAATAAAAAACAGAATCAATGGCCTGTGATCCTGGATTTTAACAGGAGATGATTTCCTTGCCTGGAATGATTATATTGTAATTTCACAGTTTCTGTTTTATAGCTCCCTTTTGGATTCTTGACCTAATGAGTTCAGTTGATTACAAGGACCGATGCCCACCCCTTCTTCCCCACAAGAGGTGGGGGCCACCAGCAGTTGTCTTACCTGAACATTGAGTTCGTTGTGCCTTTCGGAGACTTCCACCAATTCCTGCTCAATGAGTTTGCGCGAGCGTTCGCTGCCCTCCAGGCCAGTGCGCACCTCTTCTAACTCGGTCTGGAGAAGACTGAGGCGTCGTTCTTGAAGATTGTATTGCTCACGCAGCTCTTCGTGCTGGCGGGCATCTTCGTCCATCTGGATCTGAAGATCCTGGAGGCAGAATGGTGTCAGAAGCACATGCTTAGTCTGAATCATCAGGGATCGATCAACAGGATGTTTGGAGGTCCAAGAAGTATGTCCAGTACTGAATCTTAATCTACCTGCTGCCTTTAAGCTTCCACGGTTATCTAGACTAGAACTAGGACTAGAAACTTGGGGAGAGGGGGCCTGCCTTAAACACAAGCTCATGTATAGCAAGGAGATGGGCAAATGAAGTCCTCAAGGAATTTACTGGGTAAGTTCCTACGGGTGGACATATATTACAGTTTTGCTAATCCATTGTCTGCTCTGCAATAAGCCTTCAGCTTGATTCCTTCTGGGCTGTGGCCTGAAGATGAGTTGTACCAACAGCCGAGCAGCCATGGAGAAATGAAGAAGTAATCAGCCTAGGATTTGAAGGCAGATCTCCAATCTGAAATGTTGAAATGTGCTTGTTTGTTTGTTTGAGGATAGCTTACTTTTTACTGGCTCTGAAGGCCTGGCTAAACATTCAACCTGGCTCCTGCAAGATGAGAAACCACCAGTGGGAACCCTCTCAAGGAGAGCCAGTGAGGTGGAGCGGTGAAGGGGTTGGATGAGGAGCACGGAGGCCCAGGTTCTAGTCCCCTCTCAGCCACAGAGGCTCCCTGGGTGACTTTGGACCAGACCCTCTTTCAGTCCAACCTATCTCATAGGATGGGTGTGGGGAGGAAAATAGGAGGAGGAGCTGCTATATCAGGAAGCAGACTCAGATGTTATTGTTTTTGTTCTTCTTGTCCCCTTTCCTGTAACTCTTTTCACCTTGATCTGCTGCTGGAGTTTCTTTAAGGTCTTGACCAGCTCGCTGTTGTTCTTATTGGCATGGTCCAGTTGGATCTCCATTTCATTCAGGTCTGTCTCCATCTTCTTTTTCAGCCGCAGAGCCTCGGCTCGCCCTTTGGCCTCCAGTTCCAGGCTAGACTGCAGAGATTCGATGGCACGCTGGTGGTTCTTCCTACAAAGGTGAGCAAAGGTCATACCGTTCCAGGCACATCTTGACATCCAAGGAAATCCTACCACATTTCATAAGTTATCAATTCTCACCCCACACTGAATCATCTCATGGCCAGTCAGCTTTTGGTTTGGTATGACATGTCATCCCACATGTAAACTTCAGAAGAATGATCTGGATTTATACATGGTGCCAAGCAGTAAAACCCTAGTTTACAAAACACAGCAGCTGCATGCTTGCAGGATGCTAAGCCAAAACAAAACTATCTTCCTTACGACTTGCGGGACTGAATGAACCTAGCTGTTGTGACTTAACATGATGCACAAACTATAATTTCCAAAAATCAGAAGTTTTGGTTACCATAGACTCACTTGGCTCTCCTTCAACAATGTAATCGATGATTTGTTCAACAAACCACCATTAAGGCAAATCCTGGCTTACCAACATGCCAGCAGAGCCGCAGTCTGTCTGTCTGTCTGTCTGTCTGTCTGTCTGTCTATTTATCATATTTATATAGCCGCCCATCTCACACAAGGCGACTCTTTATACAGCATGCCTATTCTGTCCCTAGAGGTTTTCTTCATATGCATTGGACTACAAATCCCATCACCCCCACCCACATCGCCAGTATGGGGACAATGAGAATTGTGACACCAATTTGGAAGCTGTGCAAGCTAGGAAGATGGGAGGGGAATCCCACCACATATGGAGAATACTGACTTGAAGAGAAGATAAATGTTCCAAACCTTGTGGCTTCAAATTCCTCCTCCTTCTCGTGGATTCTCCTGTCAATGTCTGCTTTGACTTGGGCCAATTCTAGCTGAATGCGGATCAGCTTGCTCTCTTCCACCTGTCAGCAAACAGAGGAGCAGAACCATGATTTTTTAGGGTTAAGGCAGGGGTAGGGAGGCCCCAATTTTTTCCATAGTTCTTAGATCCCTCCTAATCCCTACTGACACCAACCAATGGCACAATACCTATACAGTATTACAGGCAGGAAACACACTTCAGTGTATGTCCTAAAGTAGGCTTTAAACTCCAGATTGCTCTGCAAACAGACAATCATAGCCCTACCCATCTCAGGTGGATCTATTGTCCTGCTTAAAAAATCCTTGTTTTTATAAAACCAGTAGTCAGACAAGGAAACTAAGCCAGCCAGATATCTAATAGTTTCTAGCAGCTATTTTTGTTCTTTTCATATGAAGAAGCCTTCCATCTTGTGAGCAGTCTGCAGTCACATCTAAATCTTGTCACCTCTCAGGGACAGCCAGGCTCTGGCCTCAGTTTCCCCAAACAGGAATCCCAGTGCTCTTCTGATGTGTCAAGGTAACCTTTTGCATTACCTTGAGAGTATGAATCCTTGGACTCACTTTTCTGAGACAAGGATGCTGATGGCTCCATGGATGATGAAGAAGGTCCAGAATTACCAAACAAATGAAAGATGCTAACATTTTAAACATTACCTCAAGGGAAGCCTCAGCTTCTTCCAGGGCCACCTGGAGCTCATCTTTCTCAATTTCCAACTTCTTTTTCAACTTCTGTAGTTCATGGACACTCCTTCCTCCCTCGCCCAACTGGTCAATTAGATCTTTGATTTCCTCTGAGAGAAAAAGGAACACGTGAGACTTATTCAACCTGATCATTAAATTTCAGGACCATGGACTTTCCCCATGGCACCCACACTGGCCTAGTGAGAGTCATAGTTAAGAAGCTGGATTACAGCTTTGAGGGGCTGCTGAACCCAACATGGCTTATTTCTTTGCATCTGCTGACAGCTGACAAACAATTGCAAATGTGCCCTCTTTCCAGAGATGCTTTAGATTGGGTTCTTATACAGTACTCTGGAGAGTTGTTTTGCAGCAATAAAACTCGCTATGAAGTCACTTGGGGTCTTGATAGGACATATGTATGCAGAAGTAGGCCCGTGGGCAAAAGTGACATACCTCATACCAAGGTTGGAAAACCTGTGGACCATACAGTGCCCTGAAATCCAGTTTTGCAGCATAATTTCTAGAATCTGCTGGAATCAGGAGACTAAGATTTGTGGCTTATCCTAAAGGGAGGTGAGGTGCCACCAGTTCTTTGCAGCTGGAGACAAAAGGAGGAATGTCGACCAAAACCTAGCTCCTTTATGTTATCATCTTCAATCTGCCTGTGGCAGCCCTCAAATACAAAATATTTAAAAGAAGTGTAATCATGAACCACAGAAAAACTTGCGTATTCCTGCTATCCATATACTGTGCACACAAATATAACAAAGACACATATATATAAATGTGAATGCACCCAGCCATAGAATAGGCTCTGCATAGTCTATGTCTAGGTGGATCAAGAGCAGGATTTGTTAGAAGGTAGGTCCCTAGCTTAGCACATTCCCTCTTGCTCCACTTGCCCTGGAGAGTCTTGTTTTCCTTCTTCACCGACTCCAGCTGCTCTAGGGCTTCCTCATACGCTGTCTTGAGCTTGAAGTTCTCCGTCATGTATATGCGGCACTCCTTCTGGGAATTGTCCAGCTCTAATTGGAGCTCCTCACACTTCTGCTGCCATTCAGCCAACATCTTGTCAAAGGCCCGCTGCTTCTTGTCCAGGGCCGCACAGGCTGCATTGGCCTGGAAGGGAGAAGAAGCATTACACACTACCTGGATGTCCCCTCTGATCATCTTGCTTTTACTCCAAGCCTTGTTTCTAGGTCTTCGTAGTTCAGATGGAAAGTTGTTTTTAAGGTGGGCAGTTTTCTACCAGGGAACCAACCCTACCCTCTTTTGGTATCGATGCTGAATCTGGCAGGATATTTATCAATAAGAATGGTTGCTATAATTTGTGGCTAACAGCTTAAGCGCAGTGGCTTCATTTGGGTTAATATAATAATGTTAAACAGAGGTGGGCAATCATAGCCCTTTAAACCCATTTGTGCTGCCTCTAGAGTCCTCCAAAGTCATGTCTCCAAGATTTCACAACAAATCTAATTGTTGTTATTCTATTTTAAACAAACTATGGCCTCAAAACAGCCTATTAAGCCTCCAGTAGAGGAAACGGGTTTATTTGGCTTCAGTGCCTTCCCGGATAAGAAAGAACTAATAATAAACCTACCCACAATTGCAGGGTAGATTTTATTACCCTGGATTTCAGCTTTTACTTGTTTCTACCATACCACATTGTGCAAACCCGGTCAGTTGGGGATCAGTGCCCAGAAGGGACCATGATCTTCTGAAGCAGCAGTAAGACTTTGTTATTTGACCTTTTCAAGATCCAAAGTTAGATCTTCCACTTCCATCTGGAGCTTCTGCTTGTTCTTCTCCATGCTGGCTACCCGAGCTTGTGCAGTTTCAGCCGCTTCCTCTGCCTCCTGGAGACGGGCAGTCAGTTTTCTCCTGCAAGAAGACCGCAAGACAAGAAAAGGCTCGCCAGATATGACCTAAGTCAAACAACACAGGGGAAATGATTGCCTTCCAGATATCATTGAACTATAGCTCTTAGAATCCCTCATCAGATTGCTGGGAGTACTAGTCCTACAACCCTGCTCGATGTGATGGAATGTGTCTACGAAGGGGGAGGTGATGTTATGGGCTACAGTAACACAGCAGGTTCTCAGGAAGGAGGGAGCACATTCCAGGAAAGGGGGCGGTGAGACAAGAGACAACACAGTCCGGAGCAGGAGCGTGGGAAGAGGAAGGGATTTAGGAATAGCCACTCCCTAGAATTTCCCAGGGTATATCCTCTAGGTTAGAGTAATACAGTTTTAATCTGGCAAGTTTCTGTCTATATGGTGCAAGCAATAAAAGAACTAAACTTGGCTGGACTGTTTCCCTGTTGTTCTTGGGCTGGGCCTGACATTCTGCCACCTTACTCACTTAGTCTCTTCCAGTTCCTCAGTTCTCTGAATGGCATCAGTTTCATATTTGGTCCTCCAGGTTGTAACTTCAGTGTTGAGCTTGGAGACTAAGCGTTGGAGTTCAGCTTTTCCTGTCTGCTCTTCCTCCAGCTGCTCCTTGATCAAATCCAGGTCATGTTTGGTGTTGGCCAAACTTACCACTGCAGTACTTCGGGCCTAAGGACACCAAAGTGGTAGCTGATTAATGTATTTCTCCCATATTTCTTTTTCTTTGTTTACAGTTCTATTGTAAAACCTTCAGCCCAAATCAGATGAAAATCATAAATAGCAACAACATTTTATTTTTTAAATTATCAAAAAAGAACAAAGCTTTATAGTATGGCTGATTTTGGAATTTCTGGCAGATTTTGACCATCCTCCTAAAAGCCAAAATTGATTAGTCTGTTGTATTTTTTTGCAGGTGTCCAAAAAATTATGCTATTGCTTTTTATGGCACCCAGTTTCACCTACAGCACCATGAAGAGGGTTTCTTCAGAATGATGGGATCTGTGGCCAAACCCATGTGGAGAGCACCAACTTGTGTGATCTTTGTATTCTGTGTTTCCCAACCTCCAGAATTAGGATGCAATGGTATGTGGGAAAGACCTTGGGAGATGGGGCAAAGAGATGCTGCCTAGGGAATGGTCAGATAAGAGGGGGCATAGCCCACAGCTGCATAGTGGGTGGAGCAAGAGACTCAGAAGCGACCCTCCCTAGTTTCTCAGGCTGAAAAGGAGATGGCAGGAGAGATGTACTTTCAGATTTGCAAGATTCTGTTAATGTAGCTTTATAATAAGGTAGAATTAGCTTATCTAGTCATGTTTCCTGTCTGGTCTACCTAGTAAGGCTGACATAGGTGAACTTGGACTCCCTATTTATTTGTCTTTGTGCTTGGTTTCCATTATTTTAATTTTAGTAAGCAGATGCGCCCATCGTTCCTAGGCCTTGCCTTTGATTCTTCATCCAGCTGCCGCTTGAAGTCATCCACTTGAGAGGTGAGGGATGTCTTGACACGAAGGACCTGGTTGAGCCGAGTTTGGCCTTCTTCCTGCTCACGGCTCAGCTCATTGTTCTCAGCTGCAGGGGAAGGATTAAAAGAGGAATGGAGAACTGGATTATTTATTTATTTATTTATTTATTTATTTATTTGGCTGCCCATCTCACTGATGCTTGGTTGGCCAATGCTTCACTTGGCATGAGCACTCTTTGAATGGCCAGGGGACTGAACTTCACTCTATGGGGCTGTAGAAGATGGGACGCATGGGTGAGGTCACATGCAAGGGAGTGGGGGTGAGATTTTTTTTCTGATTAGTGAGTAGATTGAAAACCTTTCTTCTGTCTCTATTTTTTTCTTCTTTAGCTGAGCTAGGTCTAATCTAGAATGCAACCCATAGCTTTTGCAGCACGTGCAAGGAAATCTTGCGCCGAGTTTTGGACATCAATTCACCATAAGTCAGTGATGCAGCTGGAGCAGCAGAAAAAGAAAGTCACAGGATGAATCAAGTCTGGCCTTCAGAGGTCACCCATCTTGAATCTAACTTTTCCTTGAGGGAATCACACTTTCTTTAAGGTACGGACTAAAAACTAAAGACACATGGGTGGATTACAGCACCTCATGTTAAAGGACTTGAGGCTGGAATTATGGGGTGAGGGGGTCATGGTGGAAAACTGTGGAAGTCTGGAGATCACCCAAGGAAACCAACCTTGGAGTCTGTTCCTGACAGCATTGATTTCTGCTTGATTCCTTTCCAACTCAGACAACCGAGCATTGGCTTCGGCCAGGTTGTCCTCCAATCTGCGGACGTGAGCCTCGGCATTAATCTGCAAGGATACAAAGGAGGAGGCAATTTCAGAATGATCCAGATTTCATTCTTACATTTCTACAAAGCAACTACAACCCTTAGAAGTAAGTAGTTAGGACTTCCCTGATACTTTGTCTTCCAGTCAGAGGGATGAAAAGAGAAAAAGCCTACATTGCAAGACTGGTCAATACATAGGAGTAGGAAAAGTATTCAGAGCTGGATCTTGAATCTTTCTTGTTTCCCCTTTCATAGTCTCTTCTGCCCATGACACTTTCTCTTGATGGGGGGAAAAGATACAGGTTTCTGGCCTATTGCATCAGGGCCTCTGCTACAGGTGGCTAATAGCTCAATAAAAGGAGCCAGTAAAATCTACTGTGTTCCTGATTTTGACCTGGTCTCTTTAATGAGAGTAATTCACCCTATGGCAAATGGCTAAGATATCAAAGAGAAGATGCTGGTTAGGAATCCAAGCCATGAGATTGGGGTCCCTAGCCTAGCACAATGGTGTTTTCTCTCATTCAACTTACCTTGGATTTCTGGATATTTTCCATGGTGCTACTGAGATCATCAATCTCGGCCTTCATGACCTGCTTGTCTTTCTCCAACTTGGACTTGACCCTCTGCAGGTTCTCAAGGTGTTCTGTCATCTCGGCCATGGCGTCGGTGTGCTTCTTGCGCAGGGTGGAAGCCGTGGCCTCGCTCTGCAAGGCGGCTTCTTCCAGTTCTCGCCGAAGTTTAAGCAGCTCAGCTTCCCGCTTGCGGTTTTGCTCGATCTGGGAGCAGAGGGCAGGGTGGGAATATGTAAGAATCACCATCCCTTTGATCCTGTCTTCTTTCCCACAACTGAAATGAAGCCAGTTCATTTCTGGGATACACCTTGAATCCTCCTTTTCCCAGATTTCAAATCTTTAGACTAGCGTTTTTCAACCTTAGCCACTCTAAGATGTGGTGGAGTCCAACCCCCGTACCAATAAACTCAGGCACACGCCGCCGGCCGCAGGTGTGTGTGGA